CCCCGCGCCACTGCGGACCCTGCCACTTAGACAATTAGAAGCTGTCAGCCTGCACAGTGTTTACTGTTTCTGGCCGCTGTGTCCTGGTTACCAGGCTACTCCACTGTGAATAAATGGGAACCGAGGCGCCCACACGACAATGTTCTTCTCCCAAAGCCTCCCTGACAGGCCTGGATTCAGGGATTTGGAGGAATGTTGGGAAGATAAGCTGTCATGCCTGTGGCAGCTTATAAGGGCAATTCTTAGGTTAGGTACAGAGATGAACTGATTTATTTAAGGAGTTCTAGTTCCTAGAGAACAAACCAAGGCACAAAGAGGTCAGGTACGTTGGTGGAAGTCGCCTAAAATAGGAAGATGTTTTTCTTCAAATTGACTTTAAGACAACTCATTTAAAAACATCTGTCGTCTCCCTCTGACCAATAATTTCTGTCAAATCACACTTTGATATGCAGGTATATTTTTCCTCTAATGTACATCTACAAATGTAAAACTAATCTAATCTAAAATCTAATCTAAAACTAAACTAATCTAAAATCCATCTATAGCGTGCACCAAGGGTACACATTGGGAAAGACTCGATAAGGTATTTTTAACTTAATAAGGGTGACCTGACAGGCTATGTTTGTTTCCAAATATCATGCAAAAACAAGAATAAGGGAAGTCTGTACTATTTATCCTCAGGATATCTGTGAAGGACTTAAAGTAGATAGAATGAAGGAAGGGGGGGGAGTAAAAGTGAGTAACTTTCTGAGTAGGAGCACTTACATAAAATTCTCCGGATATTCACTGAGGGCCATGTCAATGATATTCAGAGCATCGTGGTAATGCTTTTGTGCAGACAGTAAGAGGGCAAGGAGGTGCAGGGAGTTGGCGTCATCACCTTGAAGTTGAAGAGCTTGGCGGACGTACCCCAGAGCCTCTGGGATCTGGTTTAAAACAAAATCAAAAAGAATTTTAAAACGCGTGCGTGTGTGTGTGTGTGTGCGTGTGTGTGTGCGCGCGTACACACAAAAGAAGCTACCACTTCAATAACTGATTCTCTGTAAATATCAAAAGTCATTTCACCCTGTGCCACATTCAGATCCTAATCTTTGTGATAGCCCCAGGATATTAACCACAGACATGCAAACAGATGTCCTCTCCAAGCGATAGTGTGACTCGCTGATCGATGCTAGGCTCTGTTTCTCTCTGTAAGACTGCCAATACCAAATCTTTTGTTTCTCCCTAAAACACAATTTCTCTTTTCCACAAAACTGATGCACTCTTGATTGTGCCCAAGATAATTCCACTCTCAGTGGAGACACATGCAAGTTGCCAGAGGTTCTTAGTGGAATTAAACTGCCTTAGCTGAACTGTTCTCATTTTTTAAGGTATTACCGAACTAAAGTACAGAATAAGTTACAAAACCTTAAACAGAGCTTTCCAAATGATCAGACACCTGTGAGTCTCTCCGAAGTTCCTTCGTCCCGGACACTCCATTAGACATCAAGGAAATATGCAAACAAACAAACAAAACCCGGCACCTTTCCAAACTACAACCCAAAATAATGCCGTCCAAGAAACAAATTGCAACGCTACATACAAAGCAGATGTATCCAAATTCAAACAGGACCACAGACAACCTTAACCTTTAAAATGCAAGAGCTGTTCAAGACTTTCTTCAAAATCATCCAGGCACCAGGGTTGATAAAATACATACATAATGGATATTTGAACACCCGAGATTCCATGCAGGTTTAACAGTGACCAGGGAGAATTAGAACCTGACACTGGATTTCGAAATAGAGCTCGGAGCATTCTTACACAACCACCCCAGGGACTCCTTCCTGTCCCCAACCCCCAAATCCAGTCCCCACGTTGGATCTCTTTTCAGCTCTCCGGCCTCTTCTCAGCCCTCAGTAACCTCACTCTGTTAGGAAGAAGCCACGACTTCCCAAACCTATTCATTGTCCTCTCTGAAATCCTATTTTTGATGGATTTAAGTTCTAACTGCCAGTTACAGAGGCTTTCGGCCACTGAGCCACAGCATCAGGGGGGTCACGGCCGGGAGAGGGCTCATCCAGCCCAGCCCTTCCTTTAGAGGGAGGAAGCCGAGTCCCCGGGGGGTGATAAGGCTTGAGCATTTCCATCTAGCTATTGAGTGACTGGGACAAGAGTGGCGCTAGATCTTCTGATTCCCCTCCTGTCCTCTTCTGCTCAAATGGCATTGGCTCTAAAGGTAAGAGGGCCACAGCCTCGGGCCCCTGCCCAGCAGGGACACAGTCCCACAGAGTGTGGGCCTTACACTGTGGGCCCACAAAGATGGCGGCTGCACCCATAAGGCCCCATCCACTTATCCTCTCCTCGGGGCAAGCACCCACTCTGTGAACGAACGGCACTCAGCCTGTTACAAGGAGGGTGGAAAGGCAGGTATACTCATGGTGTTGATCTGCAGGGGTGATCAGCCCTCCTTAAGGGCTAGCTGACTTGAAGGAATTCCAAGCTAGTTCCTTCACTGAACGAGCATTACCGAATGCCTAACACATGTCGGGCAGTGTTCCAGCTGCCGGGGTAAAGCGATGAGGATGACGGACAAGGACCCCTGCCCTCATGGAACCTAAAGTCTAGGGAGGAAGACAGATCCTGAAAAGGAGAGCTGAGCAGGAGGAAGAAGGGCAGGCCGCCGCAGGAAGGAGGCTTCGAGCAGAAGGTGAGAGAAGCTCCCGGGGAGGGGGGACCAGCGCAGAGCTGTTGCAGCAACAGCTCCCCACTGGACCAGCTGTGAGCCCCACCACGCCAGGCCGTAGGGCCTGTACAGAGGATGCATCTTGGTTTCCTCAGGCCCCGGGTCACCACTGGAAGCCACTCCTCCACACCATTCACAGGCCTGCGGGGAGTCAGAGACATGCCTACAGCCCGGGTCTGCCCGGGGAATGGCATGTCTGGGGGGCTGATCTTTGCTTCACCTCCAGTCAGCACTCAGGACTGTGCTGGGGTCACCACCAGCGTCTTGCACCTGGTGGGCAGGCAGGCATGCGGCCAGAACCTCCGAGCAGCTGGGAGGGGACGAGAAAGGCAAAGGCAGCTTCTGGAAGCTGCCACTGGGAAGATGGAAGGCCAGCAGAGCTTGCCTCTCCAGCAAGGAGAACGCTGCTGAGTCCCGTATTTGGAGGAGAGATGGTCCCTATCTTCTACATGTTATAAAGGAACCGGGTACCTCTCACCCCTGCCTGCTGGCATCTTCCTTATGACAACCGGGGGCTCATTCCCCACCATGCAGCTCAGCACTGGGCCTGCCAGCAAGGGACAAAGGCTCTTTGGGGACTCCTGGGCTACGGGCCTTTGCCATGTGCTGCATCCCATGCTGCCCTCTGAACCCTCCAGATCTGTGGATTTAATCTCCCAAAGCAGAACCTGGGACACCTGTGTCTTCCCAGCAGGAGCTCAAACTGACCAAAACACCGGTGGCCGTGCTGGGAGGAGTCAGCATGCCCTCAGAAGAGACCCCGGCTCCAGGTCCGTCTCAGGTGAATGAGAGAAGACAAGCTACTGCCTCACAGGGAGGTGCTGAAGGAACTGCCTGGAGACGGAGCGTGCACCAAGTTTAGGGAACATGAGAGAAACTGACCTGTCTGGAGATGGCAAGCTGCAGAGCCAGGTAGAAAGCTGCTTGGTGATCTGTAGGTGACAGGCTGTGGGCCCTGAAAAAGCATTGGCGGCCATTAGTACACGGGAGAGGCCGTTTTACCTTTCCTAGTCAATGAGTATTCACATTTGCAGTTTTACACCAAAGCCACATATCTGACTACGTAATGTCTCATTTAAACTCTTCTCTTTGGTCCACTAACAGGGATAACGCATGTTCCCTCTTACGACTGTGTGCAGGTATGAAACAGGAGCATGCTCTGTGTCTTCTCTGGCATCTGAAATAGCAGCCCATGATCCTAGGCTCTGAGGAGGAGCCCGAGGTGAAGAATCCACAGGCGCCTCCCCCTGGGCTGAGCAGGAGAGGCCCACGTGTCATGCTGGGACACGGGGAGGTTCCGAGTGTCCTTGGCAAGGCGATGGCTGCTTTGGTTAAGTTTTGGCTTGGCCTTAACGTTACTTCATCCAAATTTCTGGATTTCAGAGAAACCATATGAAAATCAAAGACCTGGCTTTGCTTGTAAAATGAGGTTTTGGTTTTTGATGAACCATGGGAAGAAAAGAAGGGTTCTCGTTCAGTCTTTTGAAGCTTTTACTAAGTTCCATGCCGTTTACTAACGTCGTCTGTGTAACTGGGACATGCAGGGCTCTGCGGCCGGACGCTAGGCTTGTTTTTATTAACTGGCCTCAGACAGTGGATGGGGAGAGGCTGCGCTGGCCTCCTGCTTGATGGCAAACATAGTCACTCCTGCTTTTATGTGGAAGTCAACTGTATTTCACCAAGAGTAACTCAAAATGTGACTATGTGCGGGACATAATTCTGTCTAAAAATCGGGGAGGAAGAGAAAAACGAACTTTTGCTTTCTTTAAAAGGCACTTTGGGGCAGACTAATTACAAATGGGGGGGCAGATGGTAAACATAAACCCTTCATGCTCTTCTGTCAACACTCGGTGATTAAAGGAGGATCTTCTACCAGCAGAAAACAAATTCAAGATAACAAAGGAAGCCAAATCATTATGGGTTCAACTGCCTCAAACATGCCAACGATGGTTTTCTGTAGTAATAAGGCCTTTTACTGAAACCGTCCGTCCTGCTGTGGAGAAAAAGACTCAAAAGTCTTCCAGGTATTTGGCATCCAGAAAATACACCAAGTCCAATAATTAGGGCCTTGTTTAGGCAAATGTGGTAGCTCCAGGGTGGGCGTGGGGAAAAAGCGTGGTGGTGGTAGTGGGGGGGGTCTGTCCTTTTGTTAATCTCAAGAGCAAAGCCCCTAAACTCCCATTCCTGGGGAGTCTTCAGTAGTGACCTTGCCTCAGGACACAGCCTTAGTTTAAGAGGTGGCAACTGAGTAGTTGCCTGTGTTGCCCTTTTAAATGTCTTATTCCTACCAGAGGTCTGCTCTGTGGCCTCCAGTTTTTATTATTTTACAAGTATTGGTTTTCCATGAATTTGTACTTCAAAGAATTTTTTTTTCATCGGTGTTTATAAAAAGTGAGATTGGAATGTCATGGTTTCTGTCTCTCCCAATTACTCAGGGAAAATGAATACAAAATTAATTATGAAGAGACTCTGAATTATTTAGCATTATTTACCTTACCTTCTTTCACAATTGATAAAGCCAGGTTTCTACAACCCTCAAAAAAAAAAAATATTCCTCAGAGCTATAATTTTCTCAGCCCAGTTTAGAGTTGTCATAAATGAAGTTAAGTCAAATCATGGCTGCTTCTGCCCAACACCAACCAAGGGAGAAGCCGGCAATGGCCTGGCGAGTTCAGGGAGCAGGTGAAGATAGTCCTGACCAAAGGCCCCACCCTGGCCTCATCAAATAACAATTAACTGCTAGCCACAGCACTGACTGTGACAGGAACAAACCAGAAGTGATAGAAATCTCAGCATTTCTGGGGTAGGTCAGGACAAACTCTGAAGAACTGCCAACTGGACTAATAATGGATACCCAACTGTCAAGTTTCTAAGGAGACACAACTTAAACGTACACATTTGAAAACTTTCACTTCAATAATTTGGCTAATGAATTAAACTGACCACTTTAGCCTATGAGAGCAACAAAGAGATAAGGAGAATGCCCAAGAAAGCAAGAAAAAGTGCACAGTGATGAGCTCATGTAGACTCCAGAGAACTTGCTTCACTCAGGCAAAACTGCTTCAGCAGCCATGCTTCCCGTGGCAAAGCCATGCCCCCAGAAAACCCGCTCAGCAGAAATCAGCAAGTTGATGCAGGCAAGAGGAAGGACATTAGTGATCTTGAAAACTGCAAGCCTGCTGGACTCTGCACATGGATTTTTTTTTTTTTTTAATGTAGGCTCCACACCCAGCACGGAACCCCACGTGGGACTTGAACTCATGACCCTGGGATCAAGACCTGAGTTGAGATCAAGAGTTGGACGTTTAACCAACTGAGCGACCTAGATGCCCCTCTGCACATGGATTTGAAGCAGGCTCATAAATCCCATTCCCACACAGTGAGCAGCTGGTGAGGCTGCTAAGAGAAACCCAGAGACCCAAAAATGTTACCAAAGGGACACTCACAGAGCACTTCCCTTGTCAAAGCCCCTCCATATCCATTAAGTCAATTTCTCTTCCATAAGGAAAGGAAGGAAGAAATATTAGACTGCTGACTCACTGATGTTGCCCATCTATCCATCCATCTACCCAAGTCACCCCTCCATCCATCTAACCATCTGTCCACTCATCTATCATCCATCTATCTACCCTAGTCACCTATCCAACCATCTGCCCATCCATCCATCTATTCATCCATCCACTCATCCATCCATCTGCCCTAGTCACCCATCCATCCATCTATCCATCTACTCATCCATCTATCCATCCACTCATCCATTCATCTATCCATCCATCCATCCACTCATCCA